CAGATGAGGTGCTTATTGGTGATGGTTCAGGTTTGAAAATCACCCATTCAGGTTCTCTCACTTTAGGCTAAACTCAAGCCTCACAGCATGTATATATTTACCTGTTATGTAAATGAAAGTGTGTGAGCCTTTACATTCAAAAGTCCTCTTGTTTCACTTTAAGTACTAGCCTTTATAATTAAGCTTTTGGCAATTTAAATTTATTCAATGTATTTTAACTCATATTTTCCATGTTTCAAATAATTGTAAATAATGGAAATCATGCTTGCCTTTGGTAGTGCATCCTTGATGTCGGTTGAAGGAAGTTTATAATCTGTTCAAACAGTTTATAAACCCGCAATACGTGAATAGTTTTTGAGCATGTTCGGCAAAGATTTTTGCAGTTTATAAGCTGATCAAACAACATTTTTAATCACACGTCTTAGGACGGACAACTTCACCTACTTTAAAACCACAAATATTTTGGGACCCACTCTTTATAAGCATATAAAAGCTTTGTGAAGACACTTCATAAATAAGTGACAATGAGACTTGAACTTAAGATCTTTATTTTATACCATTTTAATCACAAATAGCAAGTTTGGTATTGCTTGGATACCATCGTCTAAAAGCTTAAGTCGTTACATAGATGACATATTTATTTATATAAAACTACTTTGACGGTTCCTGATAATAGGACTGCCAAACTCAAAAATACTCCACAACACTGGCATCACATTCAATCTTTAATTTCAATAGTCAAATGACATTAATATTACTTCTTGGGCAAATATGATTCAATAAATAGAGTTACCCCACATGGCCAAACCTCACATGATAATATATGGAAGCCATTTTTATTGAGTTTTGACTATTAAAAACAAAACATTTTCATATTCCCATTTACAATTTTCTATTTCTTGAAGGTATTGGCCATACTCAAGTAATTAAAAAGCAGCTATCTTTAATTCAAGTTTGCACCCCAAGACTTCTTCAAATTCTCCAACATATTGTTGTAGATGAGCCATGTCATGTGGTAGGTATTAGGCATATGAAATTGTCACAAATTCAAGACTTTTTTACTCAATTATAACGTAAATTAAGCAAATCTGACTGCTTACATTAAGCAAAAATATACATACGAACACGTGTGTGTGTATATATATATATATATATATACAGAGAGAGA